AGCACCAAGAAGACAGAGCATCCCTTGCCCCAGAGCCCCTATCTATACCTTGGGGCTAATAGCCACTGATGGACCTCTGCTCCATAGAAGGACATAAGAGAAGCCAATATTGGATCAGGCCAGTGGCCCATCCAGTCCAATGCTCTGTGTCACACAGTGGCCAGAAATACCAGGGGCCATCAGGAGGTCCAGCAGTGGGGCCAGGACACCAGGAGCCCTCCCACTGTTGACCCCCCCCCCAAGCACCAAGAAGACAGAGCATCCCTTGCCCCAGAGCCCCTATCTATACCTTGGGGCTAATAGCCACTGATGGACCTCTGCTCCATAGAAGGACATAAGAGAAGCCAATATTGGATCAGGCCAGTGGCCCATCCAGTCCAATGCTCTGTGTCACACAGTGGCCAGAAATACCAGGGGCCATCAGGAGGTCCAGCAGTGGGGCCAGGACACTAGAAGCCCCTCCCACTGTTGACCCCCCCAAGCACCAAGAAGACAGAGCATCCCTTGCCCCAGACTGAGAGTTGCTATCTATCCCATGTGGCTAATGGCCACCGATGGGCCTCTGCTCCATATGCTTATCTAATTCCCTTTTGAAGCCGTCCATGCTTGTAGCCGCCACCACTTCCTGTGGCAGTGAATTCCAAGTGTTAATCACTCTTTGGGTGAAGAAGTACTACTCAGTCCTAGACAGGGACGGGAGACACGGTGGGGTGCAGGATCTCGATCTGGGCCGCCAGCCAGCGACACATCCCGGCCTTGGAGGGTCTTCTGGAATCAGAGGACCACACAGCGTCGGAAGGGACCACGTGGGCCATTTAGTCCAACCCACCCCCAAAGCAGGACCAGCCTAGAGCATCCCTGGCAAGGGTTTGTCCAGCCTCCTCCAGCTCCTTCGCAGCCGCCCTCCTCCTCCCCAGTCACCGGCTCCTCCTGGTTTCTTGGTTGCCCTCTCTTGCAAACACCACCAGCCTTTATTCCCACCTGCGCCCCCCCCCAGTCAGAGCTCAGTTTTTCCTTTATTAAAGAAAAATCACAGGGGGGGGAGGGGAGAGAAGGGATGGAGGAGGAGGAGGTGGGGCAGAGAGGGGCTTGGGATGAATCCTGCCCAACATCTTTCCGCTGCCATTCTCCGTGTCTGGGACTGGAAAGGATGAGGTCATGGCACATCATGGAGCGTGAAAGAGCCAGAGTGTGTTCTCTCTCTCTCTCTCTCTCTCTCTCTCTCTCTCTCTCTCTCCCCTCTCCCTCCCTCCCTCCCTTCCTCCCTCTCTGTGCAGACAAACAACAAGCGGCCTGAAGCAGGCAAAAGCAGCGGTTGTTAGAGCCTGTTGCAACATCCTGAGATGAGCCCTTTCCAGTTCCTAAAAAGTGCAGGAACAGAGCGGCTGTTTTGGCCACCCGGACTTCTCCCGGTTGGCTCGTGGCCTCCCACCCCCTGCCAGGCCAGGCCAGTGACAAAAACAGAGGTGCCCAGCCAAATTGGGCAGAACTAGCCGGGCAAACAGGCTGCTCTTGGTGCGCAGGGGGGAGGCAGCTTTTGCAGGGCCACTTTCCCCTCCCAGCTATTAGCAATCCCAGCAAGCGAGGCATCCCGGCTCTCCGTTCGAGCCAGGATAACAGACAGGACCACATTTCTTGACGCGTTCCGATTCAGCAGTTTCACGTTGTGTATGTATTCCTTTGGAAGGGTTTTTTGGTAGGGTCGTGACTTTCAAACCTACAGCAGTATTTCGAGGGAGATTGAAATGCTCCCCTGTTAGTTTCTGAACATTGTGGCTTCTCGGGTCAGCCTCGTTGCATGTTGCTTTTCCCCCGTTTGCCCAAAACGGAGAGCGGAAGGGCCGTGCTGACGGAGGCCGTTGCTCCAGTGGGCTGTGGCCCACCACGGCCGCTTTGGGCCCACAGTTCTGGCCGCGCCCTTCCTGTTCTGTGCACTCCCCAGATATGGGGTTTCAACATTTTGCCAGCCTGTCATGTGAGTTTGCTCATGCGTTTCCTAATCCCTGTGTTCGGCCTTGGTTGAAGACAGGAGCAAAGGTGAATGGGGCGGGGGGGGGGCGTTCTTGTGGCCCGGGGATCGGTACCAGCAGGAGAGGACCGCCCACCACAGACAGAGACTTTCGCTTGGCTCTTCAGAAGGGCCCAGGCAGGAAGCGGCGTGTTTGGCTCTTGAGTCTGGTTCCAAGTGGGGCCGCTCACCCTCAGCTAGCACATAGTCCTCCTAAGCTATACTTCCCTGTTAGGGTCTCATCTTGTCTCTCTTGAGATCCTTCCTGGGCCCGGGTTTTCCCACAAACCCGGCCTGGTTGGAGCACCTGCTCTGGTTTCACTGAAAGAGGAGGAGGCTCTCCGTGTTCCGTGGCTCTCCCCCCCCCCCCCCCCCCCCCCCCCGCAGGTGTCAGGCTTCTCCTAGATGAGGATCCGCCCAGGCAACGATTGGCCTACGCTTTCCTCATCACGTCTGCATGAGGCTTTTATGCTGGCGCAGATCTGGCCCGCTCACACACACAGACAGTTTGGTGTAGTGGTTAAGTGCGCAGACTCTAATCTGAAAGAACCGAGTTTGATTCCCCACTCCTCCACTCGCAGCTGCCAGGTGACGTTGGGCAAGCAGTTCTGGAAAGAGCTCTCTCAGCCCCACCTTCCTCACAGACAGTGTTCCCTCCACGCTGAGTTAAGAACATAAGAACATAAGAGACGCCAATGTTGGATCAGGCCAAAGGCCCATCCAGTCCAACACTCTGTGTCACACAGTGGCCAGAAATACCAGGTGCCCTCAGTTGCTTAAGTAGCTACCTTGTGGCTAATAGCCACTGATGGACCTCTGCTCCATATGCTTATCTAATTCCCTTTTGAAGCCGTCCATGCTTGTAGCACCCACCACTTCCTGTGGCAGTGAATTCCATGTGTTAATCACTCTTTGGGTGAAGAAGGACTTCCTTTTATCCGTTCTAACCCGACCGCTCTGCAGTTTCATGGAGTGCCCACGAGTTCTTGTATTGTGAGAAAGGGGGAAAAGTACCTCTTTCTTTACCTGCTCTTTCCCATGCATAATCTTATAAACCTCGATCATGTCACCCCTCAGTCGTCTTTTCTCCAAGCTAAAGAGTTAGTGTGAGCTAGCTCACAGTTTTTTAGCCTCCTGCTCACAGATTTTTGCCTTAGCTCAGGGAGGAGGGCTCCAGAGCAAACTAATTTATGCAGTAGCCAAATTGCTTGCTCACAACTTTAATGCCAGTGGCTCACAAAGTAGAATTTTTGCTCACAAGACTCCGCAGCTTAGAGGGAGCATTGCTCACAGGGTGTCTGTCTGTTGTGGGGAGGGGAAGGAGCCACTCTGAGACTCCTTTGAGTAGTGAAAAGCAAGGTACGAAAACCAACTCTTCTTCCTCCTCTTCTTCTCCTCCTCTTCCAGCGTCTCTCGGCGATATTTCCAAAGCGTTTGTAGACTTCACCAGCCCAGATGAAGTCAACGGCTACCTGAACCTCAACGTCACCTCCGCACTGTGTCTGACCGCCTCCATCCTGAAGGCCTTCCCCGCGGAGCCAGGCTTGTGCCGGACGGTGGTGAACATCTCCTCCCTCTGTGCCCTGAAGCCCTTCAAGTCCTGGGCCCTGTACTGCACTGGGAAGGCCGCCCGGGACATGATGTTCCAGGTTCTTGCGGCAGAGGAGCCGGACGTCAGAGTGCTGAACTATGCGCCAGGTGAGCCTTGGTGTGCTGCCGGCCCCCTCCGCTCTCCCCCGGCCCCAGTCCCCGTCCCAACCTGGCAATTGTCCTTTCTGTCCTTAGGGCCCCTGGACACGGACATGCAAGAACTGGCGCGCACCCAGTCGGGAGATCTGGAGCTGCGGGAGCAGTTCCTCCGCATGAAGCAGCAGGGGCAGCTGCTCGACTGCGACGTCTCGTCCCAGAAGCTGCTGAAACTTCTCCTGGAGGACACGTTTGAATCGGGGGCGCACGTCGACTTCTACGACGTCTGAGCACCCGGGGCGCTTGTCCCGCACCCAGCACCCCCTCGGCTCTGGCTCCTGCAAAAGGCGCTTCCAGCGGCTGCCCAGACCTCCAAGTTCCTCTCTCCCGGCTGCGGCGAAAGCGTCCCATGCAGAGCCAGAGGCCCTTGAGAACGTTCCTCATTCCTCCCCCATTGCCTGGACGGAAGGGGTCTGGCGTGGCAGTCAGCTGGGCACCAGGGGACCCTCCTTTGGGCTTCCCCCGCCTAGGGGGTGCTCTGGGCTCTGCACACGGAGCGGCAAAGACTGGGGGCATCCCACCCAGCCGCCGCACATCAGAGGCTTCACTGGGGGCAGACGCACTGCAGCTGGGGAAGGGACGGCAGGAGTCTGCCCTAGCGCCACCCCCATCTTCAGGGTTGGGAGGCGCCTTGGCCTCTGCTCCGAGACAGAAAGCTTCTCTTGGCCTTGAGGCCTTGCCTCCCTCGCAGCACGTCTCAGGGGCACTCTCGGGCTTTCCTGTGGCCTCCTCAGCTAACTTCGTGGGACGTCGGGGAGGGGGTCTCCGGTGGCGGCAGCCGAGAGAGGGGGGAATCCCGGTGGTCCTACTGAGGGGTGGGGGTGTGCCAGGGAAGGACGGGGCCTGCTCTGCGAAGAGAGCGGAGTCAGCGGACCCGAAGGGCCTCAGCCGGGAGTGCGAGGGCCCGCCTTCTTTGCGCCTAGGCCTGAGGCGGGGCTCTCCAGCCTGGGCCCTTTCCCAGAGCCTTTGTGTCTTGGGACACGGCAGCCATGATGACTCTGAGGCAACAGCAGCTGCCCTCGTGAGGCCTGGGGGGGGGGGAGAGGCCGGCCTGCAGCGTGCCCGTGTGAACTTGAGAGTTGTCGGATTGGGAGCTGAGGGAAGCAGGAGGGGGCTGATGCGGCCCTGAAAGGGAACCGGAGGGGTGGTGCGCAAGAGGGAACCCACCAGGTTCGTCACCTGCCTGAACTCTGCCAAAGTCTGCTGCTGCCCGCCTTCCCCGCACTCTGACCTCGTGACACTAGTATAAATTTGTTGTATTAAACACACACCACAAACATGCAAACAAACACAAACAATACTGAACACAAATGGGAAATGGGAGCATCCCTTCATACTCTGAGTAAAGGATTTGTTGCCCACTTAAAACTTATTTCTACGCCGTATGATACTGTCCAAACTTTGCACACTATTTAAAGTTCTTATTCACCTCTTTTTTTGGTCATAACGTATTTCAGTATTTCAGTTCTTCAAACCAGTGGTAAAGTCTTGACTGTGTTTCTTCACATTTGTTCTCTCGATGTCCTTTCAAGATTAAAGTTAATTTGTCCATTTCAGCTACTTCCAGTCATTTATTTATTAGTTCCAATAACTCTCATACAGTATTCTAGGGACCGTGACTATGGGTAGAATGAGACAAGAGTCCTGTTTCTTACATTTTTCTGGAAGCATATTCATTGAACAGAGTTCTGGTAGGCCCTCGTGGCCCATCCGTTGCCCCAACTCAGTGTGACCTGAGTAGTGGCCCCCGGAGCCTGACGAGGTGGTGACGGCCTCTGGCTCCCTTCCGGCTGCTCCCTTCGTGCCCCCCCCCCTACCACGTGCAGGTCATCTGAGGGGCTCCTTCTAAAAATGGGTTCCTTGCATTTCCACCCTGGGGAGCTGCAGACATTGGGTCACCGCAGCTTGGTCCTTGCAGGGGTGTTCCTTGCAGGCAAGCGGTTTGCCTAAGGGGATGCCTGGACAAATCCCCTGCATATAAAACGGGAGGAGCTGGGAAGAAAGCAAGACTTTGGTCCCAGGCTTGCTGTATGCAGGGAGGTTTGGTTTTTAGGTTTTTTTAGCAGGAATCCCTGTGCATCTTAGGCGACACACCCCTAATGTAGCCAATGTAGCTCTTCTTACAGGGGCTACTGTAAACTCTTGGAGGGTTGGCTACATTAGGGGTGTGTCGCCTAAGATGCAAAGGAGTCCCTGCTACAAAAAGAGCCCATCGACTGATCCCACGGTGCCTCAGCAACAGGTAGAATTATTACAGCCTGGACACTGGTTGACACCCTCCATGAGAATGGGGCCTCCTGGGCAAGTTCTAGAGGGGGGAACTCTTCACTTCTTGGATCATCGCAAATTGTCTGCCGGCCTCTCCTGTGGGTATTGGATTCCTTCACCGTGCATACCTGACTGGTAACCCATGAAATGAATGCTTCCGAACTGAATAAAATAAACATGTTGTTTACAGGCCTGTTTGTGCAGACACACGCACACGCAGTAATGCAGGGAAGATCCTTGTGAGGTGGTGGCAGTTAGAATCATAGAGTTGGAAGGGACCTCCAGGGTCATCTAGTCCAACCCGCTGCACAATGCAGGAAATTCACAAATACCTCCCCCCCCACACCCCCAGTGACTGCTGTTCTATGCCCAGAAGGTGACAAAAAAACCCTCCAGGATTGCTTCCTGACTCCAAAGTGGCAACCAGCACTTCCCTGGGTGTGTAAAAAAGGGCCACAAGAACTAAGCACTGAGGCGACCCTTCCTGCCCTCCCTTCCCGTGATATGCCTAAGTTCACAGAATTCACATTGCTGTCAGATGGCCATCTAGCCTCTGTTTGAAAACCTCCAGAGAAGGAGAGCCCACCACTTCCCAAGGAAGCCTGTTCCACTGAGGAACCACTCTGTCAGAAAGCTCTTCCTAATGTTTAGCTGAAAACTCTTCTGATTTAATTTCAACTCGTTGGTTCTGGTCCGACCTTCTGGGTTAACAGAAAACAATTCCGCACCATTCCCTAGATGACAGTCCTTCAAGTGCTTGAAGATGGTTATCATATCTCCTTCTCAGTCGTCTCCTCTCCAGGCTTAAACATACCGAGCTCCTTCAACCTTTCCTCATTGGACTTGGTCTCCAGATCCCTCACCATCTTCGTTGCCCTCCTCTGGACACGTTCCAGCTTGTCTATATCCTTCGTAAATTGCAGTGCCCAAAACTGAACACAGTACTCTAGGTGAGGTCTAACCAGAGCAGAGTAAAGTACCATCACATCGCATGATCTGGACACTCTACTTCTGTTGATACAGCCCAAAATCACATTTGCCTTTTTAGCAACCGCATCACATGGCTGACTCATGTTCAGTGTATGGTCTACTAAGACCCCTAGAAACTTTTCGCACATACTACTGCCAAGACAAGTCTCCCCCATCCTATAATTATGCATTTGATTTTTCCTACCTAAATGCAGAACTTTACATTTATCCTCATTGAAATTCATTAAATTTGTTTTAGCCCAGTTTTCCAGCCTGTCAAGATCATCCTGTATCCTGACTCTGTCTTCTACCGTATTTGCCACCCCTCCCAATTTAGTATCATCTGCAAATTTAATAAGCATCCCCTCTGTTCCTTCATCCAAATAATTGCTAAAGATGTTGACCAAAACAGGTCCCAGGCAGTGTTCCCTCTAAGCTGAGTTAGTGTGAGCTAGCTCACCATTTTTTAGCCTCCAGCTCACACGTTTTTGTCTCAGCTCAGAAAGGATGGCTCTAGAGGAAACTAATTTATGTAGTAGCCAAATCGCTTGCTCACAACTTTAATGCCAGTAGCTCACAAAGTAGAATTTTTGCTCACAAGACTCCACGGCTTAGAGGGAACATTGGTCCCAGGACAGATCCTTGAGGCAGTCCACATGTCACTCCTCTCCCAAGAAGATGAGGAACCATTCACAAGCACTCTTTGGGTGCCATCTGTCAACCAGTTACAGATCCACCTAACAGTCATAGAATCCAAACCACATTTTTCCACATTTGTCACTGAAGGGACTTTTAAAACAGCTGCACAGTCCATCAGATCTCCAATTGCCAGTCAGAAGCCCTGTGGGGCGGACGTCCTGACTGGCTCCACCCACTTTCCGAGAACACCTGGCAGCCTCCAGGAAAGGTGTGTACAGGTGCTGTAGTGCCCACGGGCACCCTGTTGGGGGGCCCTGCATCAAGGCATGATTACTCCAGTATGTTGCAACAAAAACAGAGCAGAGGTACGAGTGACATTCTCCACCTCCACAGAGTGGATGTATCTAGCATACCAGCCAAAATTGATATACGGTGCTACGGGTGATGGAGGTTGCCTGGGCATCCATTAGCTGCGTAGGCTCCAACTGCACCTCCAAAGTGCAAAGAAAAAGCTCTGTCTCTCCACCCTGCGCATAATGCTATAAACCTGTGTTGTCCCCCCCCCCCACTGCCGCCATCTTCAGACTCTTCAGCTTTCCCTGACAGGGAAGGTACTCCAACCCCTCTATCTTCTTAGCTGTCGTGTTTTGTACTTTTCCCAGCTCTGCTAACGCCTTTTGGAGGCACGGTGGCCAGAACTGTGCACAGTATTCCAAAGGAGGCCGCACCACAGATCTGTACCAGGGCACTACAATGCTGGCCGTTTTATTCTCAGTCCTTTTCCTAATAATCCCCGACACAGAGCTTGTCTTTTTCACTGCTGCTGTGCAGCGGGTTGACGTTTTCGTTGAGCCATCCGCTATAACCCCGACATCTCTTTCAGTCTTGGCCTCAGACACTTTAGAGCCCGTTAGTATATGTCTACAGTTAAGGGGGACGTTGTGCATCGTGTTACACTCCCCCATGTTGAACTTCATTAGCCACGTTGTTGCCGGCTTACACAATTTCAAGAGACCCTCCTGGAGCTCTTTGGTTCATAGAATCATAGAATGTTAGAGTTGTAAGGGACCTTGCAGGTCATCTAGTCCAACCCCCGGCACTCTGCAGGAGCATAGCCGAAAGATAGCCCTACATACCTACAACATACCCGAAAGATGGTCGTCCAGCCTCCGCTTGAAAACGTCCAGCGAAGGAGCACCCACCACCTCCCACGGCAGTCTGTTCTACTGCTCAACCACTTACAGTTAGGAAGTTTCTCCTGATATTGAGCCAGTAACAACTCCCTTGTAATTTCCACCCATTAGATCTAGTTTTGCAATCCGGAGCAAGAGAGAAGAGATCTGATCCCTCTTCTACACGACAGCCCTTCAGATACTTGAAGACTGCAATCATGTCCCCTCTAAGCCTTCTCTTTCCCAGGCTAAACAGACCCAACTCTTTCAGCCTCTCCTCCTAAGACTTGGATTCCAACCCTCTCACCATCCTGGTTGCCCTCTTCTGGACATGCTCGAGCTGGTCAACATCCTTCTTAAAATGTGGTGCCCAAAACTGGACACAGGACTCCAGGTGAGGCCTGATTATAGCAGAACAGAGCGGAACGACCACCTCCCGTGATCTGGACACAAGGCTTCTGTCAATGCATCCTAAGATTGCCTTAGCCTTCTTCACAGCCACATCCCACTGCAGGCTCATGTTCAGCTCGTGATCAACCAGAACACCCATATCCCTTCCACATGAGCTGCTGTCAAGCCAAGTCCCTCCCATTCTCACCGTCGTGCATACTTCAGTACCATCAGCAAACGTGGCTTGCCCCAAATTCCAAATCATTTATGAACAAACAGAATAGCACTGGCAGTGACTCTGCTCGCCTCTCTCCATTGCAAGAACTATCAATTTGCTGGTCCCTACTGGTAAGAAGAAACAAGATGGCCCCAAGCCCCCTGTGTGGTCATTGGGTTGGATCCCATGGGTCTGTACCATAGAAGTTGATGCTCTCCCTACTGCATGGAGCATCCCCCAGATGTGAGCTGTTCCCAGAGGAGAAATGCGGCAGAGTTAGCGGGACAGATCTAGCCTGAGACCCCGTCACGCCAAGTGGCTGCTTGTGCCTGTCACTGAGACCTGAAATGCTAAGTCCGTGTTTTCCTTTGGAATTGCAGCAAAACATCGGCCATGGCAGTGTCAGGCAGGCCATTATTGCTCAGTGTTTAACACTGGAACCATTGTGCCCCCTTGCCTGTGAGCATGTGCAAAGTTGCCGTTAGCGCAGCACTGAACGGTGTTAAGTAGCCACCACAGGCGGGGCTGAGGAAGGCAGGCTTCCGGGTAGATGTTTGGGAGAGGCGAGAAGACCAAAGTGGGAGAGTGCTGGACTCCTCCAAGCAGAGACTGTGCCCTTGGGCAGGTGGTTCACCCTGGGATACTGGTACATGCCATGCTTTGCATGAATTCCATGAAACATTGGCCTGGTCTGCCAGGCAGAGGGCCCTGGGGGTTATCGGAGGGGAAACAGAGCCAAGGACTTTCCACCCTCCAAGACATTCTCTGTGCTTCGGTAGATCAGAAAACTGCTGATAGGAAATTCCCCACACGCACCCAAGAGCTTGGCACACCAGGTCAAATGACTCACATGAATAG